ATCGAATTAGTAATTGAGTTCTGGCTGTTTTCAATGTTAAAAGCTCACGGCTTGCTTGTGTTTGTTTATATTTTACCTGGCAATGGATAAGACGGTCGGCTCGATGAACCGGGTAGCACCTTTAGTAATCTTTATTTCGCGATGGAATTATTTTCTTAGTAAATTATAACTATTTCACCATTTTCAGTTAATTTCAGAGCATTATCAGAAATCAATAGCATGTTTACTAATAAAAAGAAATCAACACTAAATCTCTGTAATAACAAAGACACGCCGTAAATGTCGGTATGTGGTGGTAGAGCGCTGTGTCGTCACAGGAAGTGGTGTATCAGCACAGACCTGTGACGCCTTACTAGCCAATTTTGGCCAATATAGCGCTCCGCCGCCTTTTTACACTTGTGTTTATACACGGAACTTGATACTTCCTTTTATAGTTAAGTTGTTTTTAATTACATATTGTTTAGTGAGTGGAATATTAATGTTATAAATAATTCAATCTTGGACCAGCAGAAACTCACGCATATTAGCAGTAATAACATTTTTAAGTTTTTTCACTTGATTCTCAACTACCATTCAACAGATTTTATGAAACATGGTACATAGATGCGCATATCTGATTAGTTTTTGGTTTATTAATGTCCTAATTTGCATACTAATTAGCAAATATTGTACTTTTCCACCAATATCCCAACCACTCGTCAGATTCATTGAATCCTGGTATGTAGATGCTTAGGCATAGTCATATACAGGTTACTTTAGGGTTAATACTGTGCGTAATAATTACCTAATTTTTATAAATTAACCAATTTATTGATGCTTCACATATAACTTGAGTAGCACTCATCAAATTTTATGATTACTTCAGGGTTGAAATCGACCAATATTAGTTACCTGTACCTGTTATTAGTTTCATGTGACCTGGCGCGCTGTCGCAAGCCAAAAAATACAGGAATTTAACTACATAAAAAACAAGACTTGACTACGTATTTAGATAAAGTTTACTTGTATAATTTATTCAGTAGTTATTATTTGAAGTTAACGGTCGAGAAGCGTAAAAAGCTATAGCTTCGCTGCGTACTTAGTTCAAAATAAGAGATACCCGGTGATTCTAATTGGGGTAGTTTTACGTCCATGCGATTCTACTTGAAGTAAGACCCATTACTTAGATCAAGCAAGTGACTAAACGCTGCTATGTCAGCTGCGTGGCTATACCAGGAACCGCAAGCGAATTCCAGGTATTTGTGATGCATGCGAGGTTGAGGTTACTTAGCGACGGGACTTAAGACACGTGATCTGTGGGTGATCGGATTGTTTTAGCGATGGTGGTTAAGATTAGGTAAGATGTAAAAGGGGTTAGGA